TATTTTTAAATATACTGACTATCTGAACAAATTTTTAATCGATTATTAGGAAGGAAATAATCGATTTTCGGCCACTGTTCATCATCTTCTTCCTTTGTTCAATTTTTAACATTATCATTTTTAATTACCAAACTTCAATTAAATTATATAGGAATGTTCCCCAATGTTCACAGATCATTTTAGAGTCATTAATTTGTAGTTTTAACAACAATTTCTTGGTTTATGATTCTTGGTTCTTCAAACATGTCAAACATAAACTCAACTAATCGACCGTTTATGAACGTAAAAACGATCTATACGAACATTCTAATCACTAGATATATCTACGGGCTTACCTCGAAGCTTAATGGAGGTTTTGAAGATTTTCCGGCAAAACTTCCGGCGAGAATTGTAGCTATCTCCGGCGACCTCACACCAATACGACAGCACCACTGCGTTCTCCTCACTCCGAGCAAGAGAATAGACAGAAAGTTTGTAAGAAATGGTGAGGAATTGAAGGAATGGAGATGGTACTTATATAGGAAAATGGTGAAGGATGCTGCCAAGGGTGATGTCTGGTTTCCTGTTCGGGCGGCTAGTGGAGCGGGCTGCGATATTTCTTCGATTCCAAACGCAAGTCCCTGATTGGGACTAATTTGGTCCCAGTCGGGAAACACTTTTTGGTCTAACTTTCTCCGAATTGAAATCCGATTGCACCGTTGCGATCAGACAGTTAAACTCTATCTAACGATATAATTTTTATATTTATTCGTTATACTTTTTCCGACATCATATTTTTGGCTGGTTGACTTTGACAGAGTCAAAATTGGTTTAATTGACCTTTATTCAAAAAGGTTCTCACATTTAATTCATATTATTTATTTTCATGATTTATTTCAATAAATCATTTCAAAGTTCACATTATAAACAATTTCTTCATTTATTCTTAATTTGGGTCTGTACTCAGGTTCCCAATCAAGATCACACAATAAATCAACATGTTAGATTTATCTCTATGAGATTTATCCCAATTATGTTTATTGGATATCAATATATATTTTATTTCAGCCCAAAGCCCAACAACAATTTATTTTAATCAAAACAAATTTTGTTTAATTGAATATTTAATTCAATAAATTTTAGGGTATATTTTGGGGCGTTACACCAAGGGTATGTCATGTTGTGTCTATTTGTAGACGACATACTCATAGTTGGTAGCGATGACAAGATGGTCAAGTCTACCAAAGACATGTTAAACTCGAGATTTGACATGAAAGATATGGGTCTGGCTGAAGCAGTTCTTGGATTTAAAATTGTGAGAAGACCTGGGGGTCTAGCACTGAGCCAATCCCATTATATTGATAAAATCCTTGACAAATTAAACAAGGATGACGTTAGAGTAGCAAAGACACCGTTAGACGTCAACGCACACCTGGCTAAAAGACTGAGGTTCCAGTTACTCTCAAATCAAGTATGCGAGAGTTATTGGAAGTTTGATATATCTAATGAGTTGCACTCGACCAGATTTAGCCTGTGCCATAAGTAAGCTGAGTAAATACATCACCAATCCGAGTGATAAGCACTTGAAGGCTATTGTGCGTGTGATGAAATACCTGTGGTATACACGTGACTATGAATTCGACCAATGCCAGATTGGCCATAGTGCAAGTGAGGGTCACACTAGGTCCATGGGCATTCGACCGATGCCAGATTGGCCATAGTGCAAGTGGGAGATTGTTGGAGTTGTGCCCTGATGGCCAACTGTTTATCATTATTCTATCATGTATAGGCAGATATAATATGTTTACACATCTCATGCTAATGTAAACAAATATTATATTCCTAGATTTATATTTAAAAGATGTTTATCAGATAGTGTTATTCTGCTGATGAGACTAACATCTTGAAATAAATATTTATCTAAATGTCCATAGTCGAGTATTAACGAGAGTGGGATATCATTAATGCATGTGAGACTAGTGTGTGTTGGATGTTTGACTTAGTCTCATGGTCAATGACGGTGTGTTCACATCCGCACATGGGCAGATATTATCTAGAGATATTAGGATGCCGGACTGACCCATTCTAAAGATGTTGCTTGAATTTTTTAGTTCATGCTCTAAGCATCTTTAGCGCGACCACGGGTGTAACTATCCTTCGACTTGAAGTATTACGTTTTCTGCATATGTGAACCCGCATACTTTGATGCATTGTCCTAAGCCATATGAAATAAGGATGGTATACAAGCTTTGTTTTGGGTATGCCGCAGCACGTATTCAGAAACGTAGATTACGTACATAGGATTTGTCACTACTCTTTTTAAAGAGATTAATGTCTTATGGGGCCCACTGATAAGTTATGACTAAGGAAATTGCATAGCCATGCTGAGATGCTTTTATGACGTCTGTTCCTATTAGTCGGACTTGATAAATCAGTGAATGACTTAATGGATACAAGTTGGATTTTATTAATCCCTTGCATTGAGTTTAGACATTGAGACAAAGGGATACAGTTACACGGAGTCTGAGTTGTGGAAAGGTTTTGACGGTGCAAACGTCTTAACTTATAATCTGGGGGCAATAATGTGTTGCTAGATACCGCTTATTGCTTATAGTATTGGTGAAGAGCCAATACTGTGGCCAGCTTTATAAGTGCCTATACGGGTCACACACTTTGAACAATTTAAGGAGTAGGATTAAACAATGGGATAATAAGTAATTTGTATATTTGTAAAATAGTAAAATAAAATATTTTGGAATATAATATTATATATATAAATATTCGGTTATATATATTTTATATATGTGTGCTGATTAATATATATATATTGTATATTGAATATTTTATTTTGGTTTGTCATTTTAATTATGAAAATAATTATTTTGACATAAACTAATTAAAGTATATTTGTATACTTGTTTAAAAATGATATGGGTATTTTATTTGATTTAAAATTAATTTTATATTAATTTTTGGTGTCAAATAAAATACACTTTGAACATTTGAGTGGAGAAGAATTTTGAAAATCCTTCTCCTATCATTCATTCGGCCATGATGAGATTGTGAAGAATAAAATTTCATTGATTGATTACTTAGTGGAGTTAATTGATTTGTCATTTAGCTAATGACAAAGATTAATATTTGTTTTCTATATATGCACCTCACGCACCATTAAAACAAGTGGAGAAGAAAATCATCCTTTTTGCTTTGAGTTTCGGCCATTACAATTTAGTGAGAGAAAATATTATTTTGGTTCCACATATATCATTTTGTGTATAGAAAATATCTATAATATTTTCTAAATATTATTGGAAGTATTTTCTATAGAAATATACAAGATTATTATTATCCCAAATTTTAATCTTTATATTTTATACTACTATAATCTTTACTAGCATAAAGATTGTGGTAGACTCCGGCGTTGTTCGTGTGTCAAAGTTGGAGACCGGACACTTGAACGGTTACGTTTGCACTTTCAACGCTCTTCCTACGACTTCTTCGTTTTTACAGCTTACGGAGAAAGGTACAAATTTCTTACTACTATAAGTTTTAGTACGTGATTCTGGGCAAGATAATCATGTTAGGATGTTAAAATTTTTATATTCCGCTGCCTATCCTTGCATGGTTATCTTTCAGTGTATCAGAGCCAATGTACAAAACTATAGTTTTACGTTTGACTTTTAAAATTTTAAAAGTCAAAGTTTTAACTTGGTAATTATTAAAATTCAAAAATTGGTAAAATGATTTTATTTAGTCTTGGAATGAGTATTGGACTTAAATAAATCATTGAGAATGAATTTTAAATTTATTTATTTTATTTCTACCCGTAATATATATATAAATACATATATTTTGATTTTTCTAAATATACATTTATATATATTGTAGAAATAGTAAATATAATTTTATTTGGACATAAAACATAATTTTATGATTGATAAAATTATATTGTAATTTTTGAATGCATTATTTCCTATTTTGAATTTATTGTATTTATTTAGGTCAAAACCGAAAATAAATATGGAAAATTCAAAATGAACTTTATTAAACTTGGAAATATTATTTCTAAGTTCAATAAGGTTGTTTATAAATATAATGTTCAAAATAATATTAGTTAGTAATTAAATAAATATATATTTATATATGTACTCTTTTTTATTACCGAAATATTATATATATTTATATATTTGTATTTTAATTACCTAAATGACTAATATATATTTTGGAAAGTTATATCTCAGTAAGAAAAAGAATTTTTTTCAAAATATTAAATTTTTATAAGTTAATGTTTTCGAAAATAATTTAAATGGCATTTTATAACTTATTGAGATTTAACTAATATATTTTGGAAATAATGATTTATAAATTTTGGAAATTTTATTTCCAGGTTTATAAATGTTGAAAATAATTACTGGAAGTTGAAATTTAATTTTCATGATTTTTGCAAAATTGTTTCAAAATTTTAATGGCCTTTTTTAATATAATTTTGCAAAAGGGCATTTTGGTCATTTGAAATACTCTGGAATTTTTTTTTATGCTGGCCGAATATCCAGATTATATATAAAATTTTATTTGATTTATTTGGACGTCTAATTTAATTTTATGAGTTTTAGAAAATATTTACTGCCGTAGTATTTTTCTAGAACTGTCTGGGGTGAGCGCGGTTCACCCGGTGTATGTATATCTCTATTGCTTGTGTGGATGTATGATATGCATGGTGGATGATTGTGGCTATAGTTTATTTGATTATAATACGGCCTGCGTGTCGTGCCTTATCT